GCGGTGGCCAGGAGCGGCCACCGCACTCCAGTCTGGGCGACAGAGTGAGACTCCAACTCAAAATAAATAAATAAATAAATTAATTAATTCTACCAAAAAGAACAACTACCACTGAAATCTTTTTTGTCTGCATTAAATCATACATATCACAGCTTTTCCCTTTTGCAACTGATTCCTAAATTTCTAGTCTGGACTTCCTAAAATGGCATACCTAAATACAACTAACCCTTGAACAACAATGGTTTGATCCCACAAGTCCACTTATATGTGGATTTCTTCAGTCTCTGTCTCCCAAGACAGCAAGACCAACCCCTTCTCTTCCTCCTCGTCAGCTTACTCAGCACAAAGATGATGAAAATGGAGACCTTTATGATGATACACTTCCACTTAGTGAATAGTAAGTATATTTTTCTCTTCCTTATGATTTTCTTAATAACATTTTATTTTCTCTAGCTTACTTTTATTTACTTACTTGTTTGTTGAGTCGGGGTCTCACTCTGTTGCCAGAGCTGGAATGCAGTGGCAAGATCATGGCTCACTGCAGTCTCAACTTCCTGGGCTCAGGTGATCCTCCTGCCTCAGCTTCTTCAGGAGCTGGGACTACAGGCCTTATGCCATCATGTATGGCTAGTTTTTTTTTTATACTGTTTTTGTAGAGACAAGGTTTGGCTATGTTGCCCAGGCTGGTCTTGAACTTCTGGGCTTAAGCAATCTTCTTGCCCCAAAGTTCTGGGATTATAGGAGTGAGCCACTGCACCTAGCTTTAGCTTGCTTTATTGTAAGAATATGCATATAATAATACAACATAGAAAGTATCTGTTAACTGAACATTATCAGTACCAAATATGTTAACTAGTCTATTACCGAAAGGCTTCTGGTCAACAGAAGGCTATTAGTAGTTATGTTTTGGAGAAGTCAAAAGTTACAAGAGAGGCGACCCCCCTTCAGGTCCCTCCCACTGTGGGAATTTTTCTGTCCTCTCAATAAATCTTGCTTTCTAAAAAAAAAAACATAAAACACCTCATCAACAAGGGTACCTGCACAATGAATATTTGTATACCTAACCCTTAATTGTACCCCACAATTAAAAAAAAAAAAGTAATATGTGGATTTTTTACTGTGTGGGGATCAGTGCCCCTACTCCATGCTGTTCAAGGGTCCACTGTGCTGATGTAAAGATTTGACTAGCTGGGCTCGGTGGCTCAGCCTGTAAACCCGTGCCTTTAGGAGGCTGAGGTGAGTGGATTGCCTGAGCCCGCAGGTTCGAGACCCGCCTGGGCAGCAAGACCTCATCTCTACAATAAATCAAAAAATCAGCTGGGTGTGGTAGCGCATGCCTGTAATTCCCGCTACTTGGAAGGCTGAGGTGGAAGGATCGCCAGAGCCCAGCAGGTCGAGGCTGCGGTGGCCGGGAGCGGCCACTGCACTCCAGTCTGGGCGACAGAGGGAGACTCCAACTCAAAAAAAAAAAAAAAAAAGATTTGACTCTTCTGTTAATTTTTAGTCAAACTTCCATATGCAGTTTTATTTGACTTTGGTTATAACTGTCAGTAACATTTCTTATGAAACAGATAAAAGGCTGAACACTCAAGTTGATTGTTAGCTGTTCCAGGAGAGAGGAGTTCACACCTTCACTGGTGACCGTCATGTGGGTGCCTCGCTAACTCTGTATGGAAAGCTGTGACTCTGGCAGCTGGGTGGTGCTGAGAGACAGGAAGCGAGCCGGCACAGGCACTTTGCTTAAAGTCTTCTCCACATCCTTTTTTTTTCCCCCAGTAACAATGCTCTGAACTATAGGACCAGACAGAAAATTCAAGGTCTGGTTAACTATGGCTAAAGTGGACACCTGACTCCATGGCATGTCCCCATCTCCCCAACCCCTTTCCTCAAAGATTCTTAGCACCTAAGTGTCTCAGCTAAAAGGTCTTACAAATGCTACCAGTGTAAAGACTCTGGCCGAGCTTCAAGGAAGGGCTTTATTTCTGATCTCTGGGTGGTTGCAAATCTCACAGTAACCAAACCAGAAGACAGAAAAGAAACACGGGGAATTCCATCCCCAGTTTTGGCAGAGCTGACTCTAAAGCACACCAGGCTATTTTCTTTCTTTCTTTCTTTTTTTTTTGAGTTGGAGTCTCACTCTGTCGCCAAGACTGGAGTGCAGTGGCCGCTCCTGGCCACCGCAGCCTCGACC